TTAATTCTCAGCGCACCTCCATGGCATGTGTACTGTTATTGTCCCTGTATTAAAGATAAGAAAATTGAGGCTAGAGAGCTTAATAACTTGCCCAAAGTCATAGAGCTAGTAAATAACAGATCTCACATTCAAACCCAGATTTGTTGGCCTACAATGTCCAGGTTTTCAAACCTTAAGGATAGCAAGACCCCCTCTGATGGGACTGGTCTCTAGACACATCAGGAACAGACCTGTTATGACAGGGCAATAATATAATTAAGGTCAGTAAAATGGTTTGATTTCACATGTCCTATCTTTAAACCATTTGTCTTTCCTTCCTCCCCGCCACCCCCCCACCACCTCCTGTCAGGTTAAATCTATAGGAATGGAAAGACCTATTATATGTTAGATTTATAACATTATAAATCAATTAACCAATTAATTAAAACATTTGTTAAGCCTCTCCTATGTCCTAGGCATCCTCTTTTCATGAGAAGTTCACATCTGATAGGAGAACACAGAAACTTAAACCCTAATTATAATTCTGTGAGATCAGTACTATGCCAGTGCTAAGCACAGTGAATTATGGGGGCTAACAAAACAGATACAGATTTTAGCGCACTTGTGCTTAGAAAATAAAAGATCTCAAATTCTTCTTTTCCGTTTTAGTTTCACATATGCTTCAAGGTTACAAGTTATTCTGGCTAATAGAGAAACAAAGAGAGAAAAAAGGTTTTACGCAATCTTAATTTTTAAAACATGAAGCACCAGTGCACATTATTTTCCAAATACTTTCAAGGGCATTTTCCTAGAATCAGGTGAATGAGAGCAAGCAAGTGACCTACTTACAGCAAAAAATGCTTCAGGTTATAAAGGACGGGAAGCCAAGTGCATCCTGAAAACCACAGCATCTGGCCTTGTTTTATGCTTCATCTATCAATCTGCTGTTACAGGAATTGAGAATTAATGTTTCAATGACTGTTTCTTCTATTTTGGCTGATGAATTCATATCTTTATTATTCTTACCCTATCTCTCCCATCTCCTTTCTCATTTAAAAAAAAACACATGGAAGGGCATTTATGAAGGTCCCAAATGGATCTTAGGGAGATTACTCTTTCATCTATGCCTTAAAACTTTTGCTAATGAGGCTATAGTGTTAGACATCTTCCCAAGCAGTTCTGTGTCAATCAATCCTGATTTTCCACATATAGTATCACTTGAATAGTATATTTTCAGTACTATATTAAAGCTAAACAACAAAATAGTGCAGATTTAAAATAAATATCTAAGTTCTAGAAAATGTTTGATAGCATAAACTGTAAAAAATATACAATTGGCAGTAGTGGTTGAGAAAAAGGATTACATAGCAATTGAAGATGGTGGATTAGTACTACTCTGATAACATGAGAAAATTACATATACACTCATTTTTATATACACTCATTTTAAATTATGTGTAAAATTTAAAAACATATAAACATGAACAGTAGATTTACAATATGTTCTCTGAACTTTGCAGTTGGGTCTTTTAGCTCTCTGTGCTTTTCATAGAATGGAACTCTCAATTCATCTTTCCACTTCTTCCAATCTGTTGAAACTTTAATTTTCCATTATTTTTGCCTTAGTTCCATCTTATTCTTTCTATTGGAGCTTTAAGCACTTAATCTTGGTCTTTCTCAGTGCTTTCATGGCTTCAGGTACAACTTTATTTAATTTAACTTGTCAAAATAATAATTAAGGTTATTCTTTTCTGATGAAATATTTTAAAAAGAACCAAGGTTACCAAGTGACTATTATACTAGCATAATTACTGCTATATAATTTTATCTATTTGTTGGAGTTTTGCTCTTTCTAAACCACTGTCAAGTGAATCATTTCTACCCAGCAATGAATAGGGTCAGGTTTATTGTATTTACTTATCCAAAGATTTCAGATTTGTTTTTCCTTCCAGATTTTATTCTAAATCTCGTCATGGGGCTTCCTTGCTTTGATTTCTTGATGTATGCCAGCTGGCTTAATGGTTCAGCTGACCAGATAGGCTTTTTGGACTGGGGCAGTAGAGACTTTTGCAAAAATACATCTAAAATCATCACTGAGTGGGGCAGAGTTTCTCAAAGTGTGGCCCCAAACCACCTACATCCGAATCATCTCAGACACTCATTCAAAATGCGAATCCCTGGGCCAAAACTTGGGGCTGTTAAGTGGGAGCCTCTAAGGCTGGGACCTGGGAATCTGTATTTTGCCAAGTTGTCCAACACAACAGACTCACAATGAAATTTGAGAACCCCTAATCTAAGGAATCTCTTCCCCTTCAGGGTCCAGTGCATTGATTGACCTTGACAGCAGAGCAAACTAACCATACCCCCATCCAACTAACAAAAACAAAACAAAATTCAGTTCCATGTGGGGAGAACCGCCATAAACTGTTTTATGAGGCATTGGTTAAAAAAAAATTCTATAATAAATATAACAAGTATTTTTAATATCTCAATTCTACCAATTACAGAGGGAAGGCCCAGAAAGTCTACTTTAAATAATGTCATAATTTCCTGATTAATATTACACATAATGAATTATTTATTGAGCCCCTACTGTGGGCCAAACATGGCGTTTTGTGCTGCCAGGGATTATATAAAGCTATCCTGGGATGAAAAGCATATGTTCACTCTGCTCTATTCTGCAAGAACCTAGTTGATTTAGTGATTGCTGGAAATGAATGTGCATGGTATGTGGGAAGGCAGTAATTTGATGTCTTCGGGCCCAGACATAGGAGGCTTCCTAAGGATTTGCTAAATGAAAATTAGGTTCAAAAGGTATAAGTATAGGTACTTGGTTTATAGTCAAACCACTGGAAAAAGGATGAGCAAGCCACATTTATTTGGGGGCATGTAGACTCTTTATGGTCAGTCTTGATTACTTTATTTGATAATTTCCTTTCCTGTGCAGTCATACCTCAGGTATTAGGCAGAGGAATTGAGACGAGATGCAACCATATTGGGAGCTCCACCTCATTCTAGAGATCATTTAGGATGTCCCTAGTAGGGTGACCAGCTCCTCACAGTTTGCCTGAGACTTTCCCTGTTTTAACGTTGAAAATCCTATGTCCCAAAGACCCCCTTAATGTTAGACAAACTGGGTAGGTTGGTCACCTTTGTCCTTAGAGCAAGGCCAGGTCAGGTTCTTAGTTGACCCAGTTTCACTCAGTGAATGATGGAAATCCATTGCCATCTTCAATTCCTCAGCTCATTTTCCATATTGGTAGGTGTGGGCCCCAAAACCTAAAGTTCTTTCCTTCAGTAACCTCTACCTTTTAGCTCTGCCAAGGCAGGTTCCCATGAGCATCCTAAGCAATGACTCAGATTGAGGATAATCTCAGAGACCCAGTGGAGAGTCTTCTAACACTGCTAAGCACCCATGACTTGTGTTTTTTTGTAAACATCATCAAGGTCTCATAATCATCCTGTTCTCAAAGTGCTGTCTCATTGTCTAAATAATCAGTCTAGTATTCTCAAGCCTAGCTTCATAGCAATTTTTAAAAAAATTATATTATGAATGTAGACATGTACATAATGACATGGATGTAAAATATGAGCCACTTACACTATTAAATTCCATTCTGATTATTGTCAATAAACCCAATCATAGTTTTTAAACATTCACGAATCCTGTCATCCCATCCTTACCCTTTAAAGCCTTATGATTTTTGTCATTTCATGGTCTTACCTCCATCAAGTAGATTTTTAAATTTAACTGGTATTTAATTACTATCTCAAAGAGAAAAATGTAAAGTGTAGAGTTTGATTTGATTTAGGATCCAATGAAATTTTGCCACTTATTAAGTACATGAACTTAGGAAAGTTTGTTTCTCCAGGCTTTAAAATGTGCTCATCTATAAAAACGAAGGAAACAGCTATTTTAGAGACTTGGCGGTTTTTTGAGGAATTTAGATTATAAATATGAAGCACATAGAAGCACATCGTCTGACACCTAGCAGACATGCAATTAACCGTAGCTATTATCCTTACCACAGTATCACAAGCTTCTAACAACGGTAGCATTCAGTACATTCAACAATCAGACTGCAGAATTTCAGCCATCGAAGATGACTGCCTAAAGCAGAAAGGCACAAACTGCCTTCCCACGGAGGGTAGGGAGAGGAAGTCTCATTACTTCATAGTCTCACCGCCTCTATCTGAAGGAAGTGATGCTTCCTATATCTGGGGACAGTGTCTAATGTCACCTCGCCCCCTGGCAGTCTGTGTGTTCAGGAGGCGCTGGCTTTCAGGTTGGCTCTCTTGGGACCTCTTGGGTCACGTCTCTCTTTCTGGAAAGGGGAAGAGGTAAAAGAAAAAGGGAAGTCACCGAAATGCAAAACCTGTTACCAGATGTCCTATTCTGTCCTGACTACCGGGCCTGCTCGGGTGGGCTGCAGACTCGTTTCGCTTAAGGATTTTCAGGCGCCACCCCCAGGTGTTTGTCAGCGCAGGGATGGGGGAGGAGGGTGAGCTCACCCTAGAAACTGAAAGGCAGATGGCGAGGAGCGGAGGGTGGCCATGCGCGTCAGCGCTTTGGCTAAAGGACAGACGAACAGCAGCATGCTGGTTTGCACCGGAGGTTGAGGGGTGAGGGGCGGGAGTAAGGATCAAGCAAGAATCAGGAAGGAACTTGTTTGCGGGGGACAGCGCATTTCTTTGCACACTCAGGAAGGCTCCCTGATTTGTCAGTGTTGCGCCCGGGGCCCGCGAGCAGGGCAGGGACTTTATATGGGGCCTTAATTGGGGTCTTCCTCCGTTCCATCTCTGAGATTCAGGAGCTCAACCCAGAGCCCTGGCGAATGCCGCAGGCAGACACATCGGCTTCGCGGAGAGCCTCAGCCCAGCAGACAGTACATTACGGATCCGGTGCGCAACCTCGCTGCCCCGCAATCCCGCAACCGTATCTAAAACCCGGAAACGCTCCCTCTCCTCGCCGACGGCCGCGGGTCGCGCACGCTCAATGCGAGGGGGCGGGCCGCGGCGCCTCCGGAAGCGTTCTCTCCAGGCGCCGTTTGCTTCCTGTGTGAGGCTGGCCAAGAGCTCCTGGTGCCTCTGTTTCTGTCCCCAGGTGAGTTGCGGGTTCATGCTGGTCCTGGTGGGACGGGCGCCAGGTTCCGCTGAGCTCTTCTAGGGACCGGCTCGGATTTGGGAAGCCGAGCAGGAAAGGTCACCTCGCCTTCCTCCCACTCCCCATCTCCGTGCCGCCCCGCAGCTTCCCGCAGCCCTTGATATACAGCGGATTAACGTCCAAGGGCGTCCCGGGCCTCGCCTTGGCTTCCGGCCCTGCCTAGGCTCTTAGGTCACCGTTAGTCCTGCCCCCATAAGTTATGCCATTTCCGAGGGAATCTCTGTAGGCAGCAGGGTCACTGCGGGCGTTTGGGTCGTCCCAGGCGACCTCAGAACTGGTCCTAGGCGAAGGGGGCTGTATTGAATCCGGTCTAATTGTCGAACAGGCACTGCTACCTACGGCCCAGCGCGAAAGCGGAGGTGCTTGTGCAGTCCTGGGCACGGATGGTGATGTTAATAATAACCTGTCCTTTATGTGAAGGTTGCCAGGCGTGTTATAGGCTGTGTTCACAGGGCCTTGATGCCTGCGAAGCTGGGACTTTGGGATTGAGAAAAACTTTGTAAAACATTGCAATGAATTAGGAGAGAAATACTATAGTATGAACACTCTGCTCTCGGTCCTTAACCTGTCAGTTAAATTGCTCATTGGGTAGTATGATTTCAAAGTTTCCTATCCTGAAATGGAGAACTCTTTAAAATGAAACTATCAGGTATCATGTTTGCTTGACAAATAACTCTGAATTACAGTGTTTTGCGATATTTCTTAGTTGTACATAGCATCATCTATGTTTATGTACGTATGTGTATTCATTTTGTTGATCCTAATGTTCATACAAGATTGAAATACGTTCCCTACTATTGTATGCACGTACAGCTTTTATTGTATATTCTGCTGTAGTGGTATTGTTACTGTAACGGCCTTACATTGCAGGTATATCAGTATCAAATGAATGATAGATGAGTGTACAATAAAGTGTATACAGTTACAGTCTACAGGTAGAAGTTTCAGCTTCATTTCAGGATTTTGAAGTCAATTTAAAAGATGGACTACTGTTTTAGAAGTGGCCGTAGGTCTAGAGTACTGTATTACAGTTAATAATTTAAATATAGGAAAATATATGGTCAACAGAGGTTTTGTGTCTTGATATTTTTTATAGGATTAAAAATTATTATGTTGACTGGGATATACAGGTATCAGCCCTAGTTCATGTAGTTCGGTGAACATCCAGTAGATGGCAGTTTTATCACTACTAACTCAAACTTTAAATCAATGAAAACGTTTTATTCAAATATCACTAGTTTTCACAGACTAAGTTACTAAGACCCTTATTTTGCCTATTGGTGTATTTTCATCTATAAGTAATATCGCCACATAATGATACCACGTATTCCAACTGCATTTCCACATTTACTGTTGGAATAAAGGCTAGAGAAGTCAATTTTTCACTTCCTATCGAATATTGTTAACCCATCTTCAGGAATTCATGCTGATGGAAGAAAGCACACTTTGATTTGTTGCATGAGGAGAGATTTTAATAGGTGACTTCTCCCTAGCTACATTTTTAAAAATATAATTAATATAATAACTGGACTGTGCATTCCTTGAGTAAAGTAATTGTATCTTAGCCGTTATTGTATACCCAGTATATAGTAGATATTATATATACATGGTCAACAAATGCTTTATTATATCAATTCAGTCACTTAACGTTCCTAGGCCAAAGTTTCTGAAATGAAGTGAAGACTTTCAATTATTTAATTGTTAAGTTTAAATTAAATAATGTACTGTTGTGAAGTGAATGGCTTCTAGCAATGGAGAAGTATGGGACCCTTGACTTTTCTTTTGGAAATCGTTCAAAAGTCTGCAGTCAAATCTGGAATGATTGAATGGGAAGTTTTTCTGCAGTTGCAACTTGTTGAACAGATCATTATTGAATAGCCTGTCTTGTATGTGACAATTATAAAGATGGATAAGATATAAATCCTGTTTATAAGGATTTAAACTCTTGTTGAGTAGAATAGATATCACCTAAGTTCAATAATAGGGCCAAATGAATAATATGGAGGATTAAGATGATCTGAAAGCCTTCATGGAGCACGTAAAGTTGGTTTTTGAAGTTTGGGTAGAATTTGATTAATCGTAGATGAATGAGGAGAAACGGCCCATCCAGGGTACCAGGCGACTTTGCTGGAGAGAAAATACATGTGGCATTTCAGATGCCAGTGACTCCAGCTTTTGAGAGTTCCTATTGAGAAGTGGTGAGAAGTAAAATGCTTAAAAATTACTCTTTGATGCTGGATTAGGATAGTCAATACTTGGAAGTCCTAGAAATAAAGGGAAAGCTTTGGGGCCTTTTTGTTAGGGAGGAGTAAATGGAGGGGAGATACCCAAGAGGAATTAAAAAATTGTTGGAGCTATTCCAGAGGGAGGGAAGTGAAGAAGATCTTTGAGTGGTAGTAGTGAGAAGAGAAACAATAATTTTAGAGCTGGAAGGACCATAGGTATTAATCTGTGCAGTACCTAATTTTCACCTGTTACTGAGCTATATGTACAAATTCTGATTTATTTATTTTCACATGAGTGAAAAATATATATTCTCCTTTTTCTTCGTATCACATACGACTCAGCACAGTTTTGTGCTATGAGAATATAATGGCATTATTTGAAGCTGAGATCCTGTCTTCCAAAATGTAATGCTCACATCATCCCCAACAAGCTTATTCTTCTGGGTAGTCATTGCCTTTGACAGGGGTGTGCATGCCTCCTATAAGCCTTAGTTGTGATCTGTGTAACTGCTCAGAGATATATGTAAAATAGGCACTTGGCCTCCTCTTTTCTTCTTTATCTTGGGTGAGTGCTGTGTTCTTGTGGTTCACAAATTTTTGAAGATTCTGTTGCTTTGTATTTAGCTGCTTTGTTGGAAATGATAGCATGTTGTAAAAAAAAAAATTTAATGCCACTTGTTAATTGAGAAAATGGAATATTAAAATTTAAGCAGGGCTTGAAAACCTTTAAAAGTAAGTATGAGGAAAAAGCAGTTCAGTTCACAGTTTGAATTTCACTCAAAAATTACCTGATATACATTACACTTAATGGAAGAAATTCTTACCATCACATTATACTGAGTATTTATTGTTGGGCTGCCTTTCTTCAGTTGGATTATTGTTATTGTCATTATTTTTCTAGATTCTCTGAAATAGTTACTTAAAAACTGTTTAAAAGAGTAAATACCTTAAGATGTTTACTGCATTTTTCAAATAGAATTATTCTTTACTTAAATTACATGAGCTTTTAGGAAAGTTCATTAAAAATTCTAATAAATAAACAGTTTCTGATCTGTTTCTTCAGTTTCCAAAGGAAGCTTAAGAAGTGTTTGTTTACTTAACATTTAAAAATCTATTTCTTCTTAAAATTTTTTAAGGTAGGTCATGTTGAATTTTATTAGAAGTTAGTTTTTCTTGCTTAGTTTAAGCTACTTATCAGTCTCACAGTTTTAGTGAATCTAGTTATTACCTAGTGACATTTCTGTTTGTTTTTTTAAGGTTAACCATCAAGATGGTGCATGCTGAAGCCTTTTCTCGTCCCTTGAGTCGGAATGAAGTTGTTGGTTTAATTTTTCGTTTGACAATATTTGGTGCAGTAACATACTTTACAATCAAATGGATGGTAGATGCAATTGATCCAACCAGAAAGCAAAAAGTAGAAGCCCAGAAACAGGTATGATTAAAATGTTTGAGGATCATTTTTCTTCCAGCTAGCAAATATTTTTCTATAAAACTAAGGATATAGTAGAGTTATAAATTATGAGAAGTTCTGTGAGACCCACATGAAAATGTATTTTTATGTCATATTTAATTTCATTATTCCTAAAGAAGTATTTGTTTCTCAAATCCTTTTTGACTATGTAAGCATCTTATCAGAAGAAAAATTGATGAAGAATAAAAACTTTATAGTATTTTGTTGTAAACATCTTCATTAGAATATTTTTGTCAGCTTATAAATGAAGGAATCTAAGTAAAATTTTTCAACAGACTATAAACAAAAAAATGTATCATTAGTAATGGTATACATTTTGCTTTGTATGACGTTTGAAATGTGGATAATACTGACAATCTGTCAGTCTTAGACTTGCAAAGTACACTAATTTCTAATTAAAGAATTGCTAAAGGATGTTATTGTTAATATAAGTTTTAGTTTTTATTTTTTCAGCTACTGCCTGTTATGGTCATTTCCTTATTACGATGATATGTTTGTTTTGGTTTTTATTCTTCCTCAAAAAATATAAGCTTCTAGGAGTCCTTCAAATTTTTCTTGCTGTTTGAGGACAAGATGTTCATATTCATGGATTTTTAGATTTCTTCAGTGAGTTGTGACATTGATGCATTCAGTAAACATTTATTGAGTTCATAACAAATGCTTAGTGCCAAAGTTGAAAGATGAATAAATTTTGCTCTTTCAAAATGCTGTAGGCTAGTGTGGGAAACTGAGATGTAAATAAATGACTGCTTTACAGTGCTGTGCACAGCTCTTAAGTCAGTGAAAACCACAGTTTCATAAATACTGCTTACTGTATATATCTGAAAAGCAATTTGGAGTCGTGAGTTTGTTCCCTGAATTTTATTGTAAAATAGTTGACTCGGGGTCTAGTTATATCACCATGTTAGTCAGTTCATAACTCTAGGAAGTATGACCAGTTTGGTTTTTTTTTTTAATTAATTTGAGTATACCCATGTGTCAACCCTAAGTGCAGCTTTTTTACCCCACCTGAATCGTGGAAGTCAGTCCATGTCTGAGGTCAAAATATTAATAAGTCATATTTTCAGAACTTGTAAAAGCAGAGATGTGACTTTTAAACGGGGAATTTTGTCATTTATTTTCTTGGCTTCTAAGAGCTCTGGAACACTTACGTGCAGAAGACATGTAGAAAGCCAAATATAGATATTTCAGTAATATTTGAGTGGATTGTTGTCATTAAGACTTTATTGAAAATGATATGTATAGTATTGTTCTAAATATCAGATACATGAAGTATTAGACACCACGTGTGTTCTCATAGTGCCCATGGTAGGGAGAGAAGACTTGTCCATGATAATATAAATTATGATAGTAAGTAGCATATCCTAAGTGCCTAAAGAGTGGTATAGACAGAAACTGTGGCATTTAGAGGAAGTATTCACCAATGATTGAGGCAGTTGAGGATGGCTTCATGAAGGAGCTTGGCCTCTAGAAAAGGCAAGGGCAATTTTAAGTAGAAAGAAAATCATAAACAGAGTCATAATGGGCATAGGAATAATAAGACCTGTTAAAGGAACAGTAAATAGACTAGTCGTGTTGGAGTAGAGGATTTATGCAACTAACTAGTAGAACTTGGAGGGAGAGATAAAGGACTAAATGATAAAGGACCCAGAGTATAAAGTCAAAGAACAAAGCTAACTTCTTTTTCCTTACTCAGTCCTTGTAATGTTTCATTGGGTGGATAGAGGCTAATAAATGCCACAGCATTTGAAATGTCCATCATCAACTGAGAAGGAAGCATGCTTTTTGCTTGGCCAGGGGCTATAGCTTCTCTGTTATTCTTCCTCTTTTCCTTCCTTGCTTCCCTGGCCAACTGTTGAAATATGCTATTGGCCAGTTGATCTTCTATATAGGGAGTGGTAAACCATTAAAGATTTTTGAGTAGGTGGATGCTATGCAAAGCAGTGTTTTAAGGATAATTCACCTTAGAGTAGTATATAGCAGGAATTGGAGTCAGGGAGACTGGAACCAAGATCTGTTCTTTATAGACTGCAGTTGTCCTGGCAAAGACCTAGAATAAGGGGGTAGCAAAAGGAATGGAATGAGTGAAATAGACTGATAAGAATGAATGCTGGAGGACTTTGTGATGAAATGGGAAAAGAAAAAGGACATCTTAAGATGAATCCAAGATTTGTCAGGAGTCCTCAAAGACTCACAGTGCCTTTTGTGTGTGTGTGTGTGTGTGTGAGGAAGATCAGCCCTGAGCTAACATCCGTTGCCAATCCTCCTCTTTTTTGCTGAGGAAGATTGGCCCTGGGCTAACATCCATGCCCATCTTCCTCTACTTTATATGGGA